GTTATTTACATACTATTATTTAAGTTGCTGTATATATTGTTCTATATATATAGTAATTAATAAGTATTTGAACTGCTTCATTGGCTACATATGAACCACATACCTTCTCTGAGCCATGTGTTTTTGTTTAAATAACATTGTTTAGGACCAATGCATAATTACAGTAAAGGCAGTTTCTTATTCTAGAATTTCTTGCCTATCCACATTTGACAGCATGCCATAAAGAGTAGTCCCATCAGCATGTTCAGTTAGGCTTTAAAGTTTTCCTCTTTCCTCATTCCTTTCAATAAATACCAAAACCTAATAAATTTATTACACATGTACTTTTGCAAAATATGTTGTATGCAGTTATTATCTTATTTAATATACTTTCTTATCATTTAATATATTTTAAATATATATATATATATTGTTTAGACAGCATTAAAACAGTATAAATAAATAAATCTTAAAATAAAATATTAGATCTGGAAATAACTAAATACACCTTAAGAATCCATATTCGAGATAGAATTTTAAGATTTAAGAAAAAAAAATATAAATTTCAAATAAAATGAAGTAATAATATTAATGCAATAAGTAAATGGTTATATACTAAATAAGTCAACACCCAAGGGATATAATTATTAAAATTGAGAAAAAAGATTTGATGTCAACCAGTTAGATGTTGGATTCTGAACCTTGTAAGGTATTTATTTATAGGTCAATGATCCTACAGGAGGTTGTTAATAAACAAGAAAAATGCTCAACCACCAGATTTCAATTAAGGTTATTCACTTTATAAAGGATGTAATCCAAAAGCAAGCAGTTATAGTGTATTGAACTTTACTAATTTTTTTTTCAACCATAAACCTTTATAATCAACCAAGAAATAAATAACACTTCCCTAAAAGTTGAGCTTTTACATAGTCAAACATAAATCAAAATGTTAATAACAAAAAAAGACAGAAAGACTTTTTTATTGAAAGTATATTGTGGCTTTTCTCCAAGAATATTTGGATCATTATTTTGAGATTTGACACGAAAATTATAAAGATCATCCCAGCATGTAACTGGACATTACCAAAAGTTGTTTCTGTTGTCTGGAGCTCTAAAATGGATTTAATGTTTGATGTTAAGTTCATCCTCAAGAAAAAGCAGAAAGTATTGTATAGTATATATTTGGTAAGTCCACTCCCACAAATTCCTAAATGCTTTGGGTAAAAAGCAAGGTAGGCAAGCAGACAGCAAATAATTTGTATCTTATATAATATTTGTCTGATTAATTTTTATTCTGAATATTTGAAGAACTAATAAAAACTGAATGGATTTTCATGGTAAACAATACAGTATCTTTACATATTATTTCTCTTTCTTTTTTTTTTTTTTTCTGTCAGTATGCCATAACTCTCTTAATACTTAAATAATGTTTTGAAATAAACATTATCATACCATTAAATGATATCATCCTTCTTCACAAATGATGAAAAATAAGCAAATCCTTCAGAAAAAGCAGGTAACAAAAGTTATGAAGAAAAGAATACTTTTATTTGTGAATAACTCAAAAATCATATAATTTATGGTTAATGATATATATAAGTGACTTCAAATAAAAGAGGGACATCTGTAATTTTTTAAATATTTGAGAAAAAATATTTTTCTTACATAACTTCAATTATAACCAATTCTAATGATTTCGCTTCAAGATTCAACTTGAACATTCATAAATAAAATCATCAGAAACAGTTTGAGTTAAACCTACAAAACAAAAATTGATTTTTCTTCACTTTCTGAAAATGAAAGATGTCCGTCTTTGATATGAAGCCATCCACCAATGTAAGATAATTTGAAAGACTAAATTTCCTAATTGAAAAAAAAATTAAATTGTACCATTTTTAGGAAAAATACAGCCTATTTGACTAAGTCCACATGAATTGCTTCATTATATTTAATAACGAACCTTTATAACCGACCAAGGAAAAATTTGTTAACCCTTTTCCTTCCCAAAAAATTTTCATTTGAATTTATTTTCATATTATACCATACTAATTGGCCCATGCGGATAATCCTCTAAGAATATTGGTCAGTGCACAATTGATAAAATAACAAGTAAATTAAATAATTCAATGTATTATAAGATGAAGGAATCATTTCATGTTTTTCATTAATTATAATTGACCAAGGAAAAGAAAATTGTTATAAAAATTCATTCGTTATAACTAAAAGTGTTTACGAATTACAGTAATCTGTATCTCAGCTGATAATGGTCCAAATTTGATTTTTTTTTTTTTTTTTTTTTTTTTGTAGGGAATTTAATAATCTTTCAAATGAACAAGGACACAATCAATAAAATATGTGTGCTTTTTGAGTTATTTGCAAATAAAGTTTTTTTTCTGAAATTTCGGAGGGATGTGATTATTTTTCCTAACTGAAGATCTTCAAAATGAGGACTGAATCATAGGATTTGATAATGAATTGAGGAAGATATAAAATACAAACACCACAAAAACATACTATTAAAAAAAACACCTTTAAGAAATAATATATGATACATAACTTGCATGGTATATGAATAATTTGTATGATATATTGGTCAGTGATTTGGTGGTAATATGTATACATAACTACTAGATCACTGACTATTATATCAAGAAAGATAGAGGAGCCAACTTGTATGACATAATATATAAAATGTCTTCGAACAAAACGAGATAATTCTATTTTTATTTTTTTAACATACAACTTTTTTTGGCATTAAGCTTTTAGAAAAAATCCTACTTTGCCAGAAAGTACAACATTGAAAAGTATATGATAAGGCAAAAATAAATATTTTTCTGAAGTTTATTTGGAGTATGAAACACAAAGCTAAAAAAATACAGTCCGTCCAACATGCCAGTTTATTTTATGGTAAACTTTTAACAAATAAAAAAACTATAAACAATCTCAAAGATAATACAATTATAAGATATATTCTTTTAATTCGAGTTTTAAACATTAAGTAATGAGTATGATATATCTTGGACTATTTTGATTGAGAATTAAAAATTTATACTACTCAATCTGTAGCATACACTATTTTATAATCGAAAATTACAATTAAAACTGTAACCATCATCTTAAGCAGCAAGAGGAGAAAAAAAAAATCTGGTGTGTTCACTCTCACGACTATCCTACCTATTTCAGAAAAGTTTTTATATCTTTTCATATGTCCATCAAGAAACAAAAACAAATTGAATTACCAAGAGAAAGCTGTCACAACATTAAATTTAGGTAAAGTTAATAGTGTTGTGTTAAAAAAAATCTGCCAACAATTCTATTTTCGAAAATGAATATGGACAGACCATACAATTTAATTTTTTTATAAACCCAGAAAGACTAATAACAACTTTAAATAATAAATACATTTTTAGAATGTATTTCATAGCACCGAACCATCATGTTAATCAGCAAGAGTTGAAAAAATAACAAAAATGGTTTTGGCTGTTCATCTTGTAACATGAATATATTTGTAAAGTAAGACTGATGCTGAAAAAAAAAAAAAAAAAAAAAAAAAATGCAAGTTTAATCTAAGAGAAGCATGAATTCGCCCTTGAACTACTTACTTACTATTGGCTATACACTTAAACTAAATATTTTCAAATCACAAGAATACAACAGGTTGTAAACCATAAGTTTTTATGGAATTCCCTAACTTTTCCAAGTCAAATTTGTAAAAACTCTAGGTCATTTTAAGTACTAATTTTTTATAAACTAATAATTAGAATAATTTCACATAATTGGTACAATATTTAAAAAACTTCAACAAATATCAACACAACCTCTTTGACAATAGAAATGTTAACTGTAAAACTGATTTAAATTTTGTTGGCATCAAAACATTAAAAAAACAGTCAATGACCTTTATCGGCACACCAGTTTTTTTAAAAATAAGTTTAAGAATACAAATAGAAATGGAAAAATAATTACTAAACAGAATAAAATAAATTTGTTGATTACAAAAAAAAACCAATTTTTTGTGTTTGCATATTGCGGCTTATACAATCCTCTTAAATTTTCTAGATTCAAAAAATTTCTTGACTTGTCAAGGTCCAGTTGACAGCCTAATGAACCATTATTGAAACAAAAAAAAAAGGACAAATTCACATTGCACTTTAAATTGTTATAACCCTAATTTTATCCATTCCAAATTATTAGTATTAAAACAATATATTAATTATAAGTTTTTGCGGTTTGGTTCTTAAAAACTAAAATAATTATAGCAAAGAAATGTCATATAATATAACTCAAATAGAAATACATACTTAAGTGCGAAAACAATACATGAATATTATAATGAAGATATTTGTCTTTTCGAATAGAAGCAAAGATAGCTTCTATTTCTACCAATCTACTGGTATAAATTATTGCAAAATAAGCAATGGATAAAACAGACAATTAGTCATTTAATACACAGTATATCACTTTGTTAGATCAGTAACTCAGTGAACCAAAATGAGAAATGTAGATAATTTAGACTAACTGGCTTTCATTTGACCAAAAATAACAGCATTTTAAAACCCTTAAAACAAAAGCTAAACCTTGATGGGTTTTCAGTTCAAATAACCTTATTCTTCCAATAAGTCAAACAAATATACTAAGATCTATCAAGCATACCCATACAGATTAGGAGTTAAATAAAAGTCTTGAAAAAGTAAAAAGAATCAATTTTATTGACAACTTGAACACACATTATTGTGGCATAAAACAATACAAATAAGTTCAAAAACTTTTAGGAAACATCTCAAATTCTTAAGAAACCATGTTCACTAAAATCATACATCTGTGAACATTTCAGGTCATATACAATAAGAATACAGGTACTAAAAAAAAAACTGAATTATAAAACTGACAATGAATAACATGTCTTACATGACATCCACAATAAACTCGTAAAAGCTTCTGATTAAACTTACTATTTGACATGATAAGTCCCAGGTAACGGATGTTCCAGTAAAACGAGAAATGCATATTGATTAAATTTATTACATATTCTTAAGGGCTTCATTAACTTCATCTACATAACCACACAGTTTTTTCCACTGCTCAACGCTTAATGAAATACCTTTTTTACCAGGTTTCAAATCGCCATCGGTTTCATAAAATTCTCTAATGTCCACCATTAGTTTTCCTTTAAATTCTCTAACTTTCAGAAAGCGTCTCTTATCGAGACTCCAAGAGTTTTCATCTTCATCATCTTTTGCACGGCTCGTTTTAGCTTTTTTGGCTGCTGGCTTCTCGACAATATCGTCAGGTCCTGAGTCAGAAGTGTCAGAATCCTTTTTTGCTTTTCTAGGAGCCATATCTAAAATGTAAAATTGTCTCACCCGGTAAACGAACTAACCAACAATGGCGAACGCTTCGTCACGGCTTGATCAAAAGAATTGTTTTACCGCTAAATCGCAACTGTTACCAACCGATATTCAAAATCTTTTTAATTTTGTTTTAATGGCATTTCTTTTATAATAATTCATGGATTTTAAATTGTCATAATATTTTTAAAAGGTCAATTATAAAAATTCATCCTCAAAACTGGATCCTTAATTTTGTGACAATTAATTATAACTTATATAATTTATAACTCTCCTCCTTCCTAATGGAAGTATCACAATTAATATGGATCCAGGTAGAAGTTAAGAAAGAAAACGCAGCGATATACGTAGATTTAGAAGTGAATGCGCTTGAACACATTGAGAATCTCATCGAAAACACATTGAGTAGAGAAATTTAGATATTTAGGGTCGACAATAACCAGAAAAAAAGGAAACTGAAGAGGGGATTAACAATAGGTTAACGGTCTTATCTCGCGACTTCTGCCCGAAACTTCTATCTTGTGCTATTTCTTTCCATTTATCTGCACGCAGCTCCATTGAATATTTGTTTATTCTATCTCTCCTTCTGCTTTTTGGCGTCCCACGTGTTTTTTTGTCTTCTATTGAAGCATTCATTGTTAAATAGAGGCTTTCAGATGGATTCCTACGAGCTACATGCCCTGTCCATCTTAACTTCCGTTCCTTCATATCATAGAATATTGATTAACCAGTTTCTGTAGGCACTTCTTTATTGGCCTATCTTCTACATATGTTAGTACTCTGATCCCAGACCGCTCCGGTTATCGTGCGAAGGATTTTTCTCTCAAATATTTCAACATTTTTTTCTAGGGTGCTGATTAGTATCCAGGTCTCACAGTCATATATTAGAACTGGTTTTATCATAGCATTGTACACCTTTAATTCGAGATTTTTTGGGATTTCAATATCTTTGAGGGCCAGTTGCACAATTAAAGATTTTAACCAAGATTTAGTTATCTGAGCTTAATCTACCAGTAACTGCTCATCTCTGTAATCACCACTTTTAGTCGTTGGTAAAAAGTTAAATCTAAACCAAGATATTGGAAGGAAGTAGGAGGTTTCTAATAGGTTTTTCTACAGTTCTTTGTTGTTTGAGATTCTCAATGTCTTCTCAAGTGTTTGTTTTCGTTTAACGAAAGTCAAAGTTAAATTACTTTGTGTTAATTAGTGTCAGTTATAAAACAAAGATCAATCTAAATATATCACAAAATTCATTATCAGACCAATGGACAAAATAATTTGTTTGAGGACGATATACCTTTTTAGGGTATACAACGGGAATATAGGGTGTACAATGGGTAGATGCCATATTGCGAGTGCGTCATGATGTAGAAGAAAGAGTGGAGAGATATGTTATGCTTCTCCTGCTCGACATATCCTCTGCATTTGACAGCGTGTGGTGGTCGAGTGTTCTCCAGCAACTCCAGAAGTATGAAACTCCCAGTAACCTTTATGACCTAGTGAGAAGCTACCTCCAGGAGCGGACATTGAAAATTAGGGGCAGGTTCTTTAAAGTAGAAGACACCGCCGAGAAGGGCTACCCATAGGGATTTGTTCTGGGTCTTTCCCTGTGGAAGCTAGTCTTTGACGAGTTGCTGGAGAGGCTCAATCGGCATAGCCGGCCTGAAAGCAGAGGCTGAAAGATGTGCCAGTATGGTAGCTGAAGATGGTGCGAGAGGAAGAAGTTGAAGATGGGTGCAACAAAGACCCAGGCACTTCTCTTGAGTGGCACGACTGACAGGACACATCATATTATATTGAGTATAGAAAAAGAAAATGTATGTTCAAGTGAGGTTGTCACTTACCTTGGCATAAAAATTGGTCGAAAGTTCAACGTGACTCCTCACCTGAACTATATGAAAACTAGTCACAGTGGCCCTAAATGGACTCAGTCGCGTTGGAGGCTTCTTCTGGGGTCTCAGATACCCATCTACAATCACTATATACAAAGGAGTAGTTTTGAGTTTTCTGAGATATGCGTCCCCTGCCTGTAACCTAAGCCTCTCGCACCGACAGAAGAGTAGGCTAGCATCGATTGGCTTTACTTCGGGTCACTGGAGCCTATAGAACGGTATCTCATGATGCAGTGCAAGTACTGGCAGGGGGAACGCTTCTCGTTCTCCTGCGAGAAGACTATTAACTCTTTAAAATGAAAAGAGAAGGTTCGGTGGATCTATCGGAGCATCTAAAGATGAGAATTGAAGAAGACCCAAGAAGATGGAAAAGAAATATCAGGGAGGACATAGTTGATCCATAAAGCCGGCGATGGATGGGCGCTCGAAGAGGATATGTCGAACAGGAGAAGCATAACATATCTCTCCACTCTTTCTTCTACATCATGACGCACTCGCAATATGGCATCTACCCATTGTACACCCTATATTCCCGTTGTATACCCTACAAAAGTATATCGTCCTCAAACAAATTATTTTGTCCATTGGTCTGATAACGAATTTTGTGATATATTTAGATTGATCTTTGTTTTATAACTGACACTAATTAACACAAATTAATTTAACTTTGACTTTAAATTTAATTTAACTAAGGCAGGGAAAGCCACCTTAAAAAATATATATATACTTTTTTTCCATTAGTAAAAATGCATTTAAATCGAGGAAATCATTGTCATCTGTAAGGTCCTCAAAATCTAGCATATCGGTTTTTGCAAGAAAAAAGATAAATAAAAATTATTTACACTAAGGATACAGCAAAAACACCGTGGAAAGTTATCATAGTTGCCAAGGGTAACACTAGGTGAGAATGATTTTTACTTAAGTTTTTCTTCCAAAGTAAAGCTTAAGCGCCTACGGTCGACCGATCAAGATTAAACTTGGTTTATTCTTCGATAGCGATGAATCTAAGCTTTACTGAGTTGGAGCAACTGGTTCTGAAAGTGAGAAGAAAGCTCTGTTTGCGCTAGTTATACGCTTGCCTATTTCTGCCCGTTGGTCATTCATTGGGTTATTGTGGAGCCGTGGTATTTGAATTTTTCTACTCTCGGAAATGATTTTCCTTCTACGCAGATCCTGTTATTGGGGTGAAATTTTCGGTTGATTATAATATATTTGGTTTGTCTTCATTTACTTGTAGGCCAATCTGCTCTGACCCTCTTATCAGAATCTTGACAAGTTTCTCAATACCCTCTTGATTACTTCCAATGACAGCTATATCATCTGCGTATCCAAGGATTTTATGATTCTTTCCTACGTGGACCCCTTCATTTTCCCCTGATGATCTTATTACCTTCTCCTGAGTAATACATGTAAATTACAGTCATACAATTTGAGCAAATAGTAGTACAATTAAATGAATAGTTGTATAATTTGTAAAATGGAGGTGGGTCTGCCGTTAGGCGGATAGGGGGTATTTATACCTTAGGATAAATAAAAAAATTAAGTAAAAATAAAGTGTAAGGAGAAAAATTATACAGTGACTAAAACAATTAAACTACATTAGCGTTTTCTCATATTTTTCAATAAGCAGAGGATCTCTGAACTTTTTTAGATGGAAACGCTTGAACATTTTTTGAATTGTTTGAGAATATCCTCGCAACAATGTGAGCAATGCTGAGGTAATGATCGCTATAGACATTATTATCCCTAAAGACATGGACATCCGTTATTTTGCTGATATGTCTTCTGTCCATACGAATGTGGTCGAACTGGTCGACATATGTTTATTGAGGTATCTAGAAATTAAAGTGACATAAGTATGTAATTCAGATTTGGGTTTTGATTAATTTGCGATTCACGCATATTGGGAACTACGATTATGGTTTACTTGAAAAAATGATGAATTTAACTGAGGTACAAATTACATTGTTTATCAAGAAACATTTATTATTCATTAAGGAAATGAAGATTTCGTACCGTGTGTCAGTACTTCTTTCACTGATTCTCATCCCATTATTAACAGTGATTTTCGGTGGTTGATTTATTTCAACAGTACTTCTAGTTGACCAATTAGGAATATGTTTATCTAGTTTCGTATGGTCTCAGATTTGTTCCTGTCTGTAAATTTCAATTGTTATACATTTTCATGAGAAAATTTCATAATAAATTTTTAAGAATTATAAATCAACACCGTCCTAACAAATGTAATTGACATCAAAAGTAACTTATTGTTTAAGAAATCCACCTTCCATAAAAAGGTGTCGCAAGAACCTTCCCTCTCTCCTCTCTAGATATTTTATTGCTCACTTTTTCTTAAAAACAGAGCATGCTGAGGTAGAATCAGAAAAATCGTAGATGTTATACAATTACACTTGCAGCGTCCTGTTCTATGTTTTCCACTTCTATCTTAGTCCGAAAATTTATAACACTGTCGAAATTTGCCCCCTCAAAAATTAAAAAACCCTCCAAATATGTCCCCCTCAAAAATTTTGATGGCGTACCTTGCCCCATGAAATCCCCCTTCTGGGCACCCCTGGCTAGGTAACAAAATTACTCATGTAAATCATTTAGTACGAATTTAATATGCATACTGGCATTAAACCTCATCACAACTTGACAATTGGTTTGATTAAAGAATCATAAATATGAATCAGCGTATAATTAAAATAGAATTATTATTAAGGAACTAATCATTAACTCAGAAAAGTTAAAGTTTAGTCAACATTATTATTTATTATTGTTTCATGGTTGTAATTTTTAATTCAGTTGCAATTTATTTATTTTAAAACCTAAATTACAAAATAAAGGAACTACTCATTTATTGTTTCATTGACATTTTTTGCTATTGCGGTGGCAACCCTACTTACATGAGGTTGCAAGATTGTGTACGTTTAATAAAGGTTTTGATTTGTTTCATGTATTAATCCGTTGTCATATTTAGGTATTGTATTCTTTGTTTTGTTGAATCATTATCTTTTAACTTTTAATATTTTAATTAAATATAGTTGATGTGTGTTTACTTCAGTTAAACGAATCTTACTTTGTACATCTTAAATGCCCTTTGCTGATAAAGTAGAACTGTCAAGTAATAGTTTTCCTCTTCACCTGAATATTTTTCTGTTTTAGTATGGATCGTCTCTTGCGTTTAGGGGGTGGAATGCCAGGATTAAGTCAAGCACCACCTCCTTCTGATGCCCCTGTTGTAGATACTGCAGAACAAGTCTACATTTCTTCTCTGGCTCTCCTTAAGATGTTAAAACATGGAAGAGCTGGGGTTCCTATGGAAGTTATGGGGCTTATGTTAGGAGAATTTGTTGATGACTATACTGTAAGAGTAATCGATGTGTTTGCTATGCCACAGACAGGAACAGTGAGTAACTTAAAATCTAGTTTTTTTTAGATTACTCTCTATCATTCATTTGTTATGTATTTGTTTAAATATTTAAAAAATTTACTTATCGTTTTCCATCCTAGTTTAAAGTATCTACCAATATCTATATTTAGTTATCGTTAATATTTATTTTTAATCTGTATTTTAGGGTGTGAGTGTAGAAGCTGTGGATCCTGTTTTCCAAGCTAAAATGTTAGACATGTTGAAGCAAACCGGTCGCCCCGAGATGGTGGTAGGATGGTATCATTCCCATCCAGGATTTGGTTGTTGGTTATCAGGTGTTGATATCAACACTCAGCAAAGCTTTGAAGCTCTTTCAGAAAGAGCTGTAGCTGTTGTTGTTGATCCAATCCAGAGTGTCAAAGGTAAGTGAATAAATAAAGTGATATAGTAATTTTAAAAGTAATCTGATTAATGATAATATGCTGCTATCTTTCCATGTAGCTGTTTTATTGAGAATTTTATAAGTTAATAGAATTATGCCATCTTAAATGGCTTACTATGGTGATTTGTTTTTTGGTGTCTACTTCTATTAAGATCCAAACTACACTGTATGTGAAAATAGATCATGAGTCATCTTTTAGTGTACAACAAACATTCTGACAATCATCTTTGCCTAGTGTCTTATACTAGAAAGAAACAAAACTAAAAACTATCATTCTCTTGAAGTAAATGTTCAATGAAATGAGCTAGATAGCGTACAGTGGTCTATCTTTAATTTATTTAAGATGTAAATAATGTATTGAATTTGTTAGTGCTATGAATTTTTTTTGTTTGTCAGAATAATAATACTGTTTAATAAATGTACAAACTGTTTTCAACTATCGACATGTTGGTTTTTAGATTATTATTCTTATTATAATGTGGTTATATGTAAACATAATTAATTTCTAGATCTGAATTTATTAATACTTTTATTTTTATGGAATATCAAAAGTAATACATTTAATTTGTTTTTAGGGAAAGTTGTCATTGATGCTTTCAGATTAATTAATCCCAATATGATGGTTCTTGGCCAAGAACCACGACAAACTACCTCCAATTTGGGGCATCTGCAAAAACCCTCCGTACAGGTATGAATGTTATTTGAAGAATAAATTTATATTTTAAGTGTAAGCCGATTTGCTCTGCTTCTCCTATCAGAGTCGTAGGAAGTCTCCCAATGTCCTCTTGATTCATTCCGATATGCACCTCTCCATTTTCAGGTGATGTTCTTATCACCTTTTCCAAGGCCAAGTTGAAAACTATCAGCAAGATTCCACATCTCTACCTCAGACCTGTTCGAATTTCAAAGGTTTTAGATACTTGTTTCATGACTCATTATTTAAGATAATTTTTACACTCCTCCCTACTTGACCATTAGATTTTCTTCTTCACCTTATAACAGCTCTTATGGGTAATTGTCCATTCCAGGAGCCTTTTTGCTTTTAAGCCTGTTGATAGCAATATTCACATCCAGAATATCTGATTTTCAATCTCTTGTGGGCCGAGTTCTTTACCCTCATGTCTCTTTGTTTGTGGATTTCTCTTGATTGAGAAGCTGTTGGAAATGTTCTTTCCAGTAATTTTGCAATCTTCTCTCATTTGTATGTTTATGGCTTGACATCCTACCCTTTCATTTCTGATGACTTTATAGAATTCACATATATTTCCAGTCTGCCAGTTGTCCTCAATAGTTCATGAATTTTTTCGAAAGTAGCTTGGTCAGTTTTAGCTAAGAAATTTGTTTTGTTTTTTATTTCAGGCCAATTAATTTTATTTCATTAATTGTTTCATATATATGCTTCTTGTTGTATAATTTAAAGAGCACTAACTTTATTTAATTTTAATTATTGTTTACAAAAATTATTAATAGACTAGTATATTGGAATTTCTTTAATTCAGCTATCTCAAGCGCATATATCAATTCTCATTTAAGATATGATTTTAATTAAATGATTTTCTATAGATTTGTTGTACCATGGTTTAAATTGTAACATACATATTTTCATTCTATTTTTTTCTTCTAACTTTTAGGCTTTAATACACGGTTTAAATCGCCATTATTATTCCATCAGCATCAACTACAGGAAAAATGAATTGGAGCAAAAAATGTTGTTAAATTTACATAAGAAGTCATGGATGGATGGACTGATGCTCTCCGACTATTCAGAGAATTGTAAAGTTAATGAAACCACAGTCGGGGACATGCTTGAATTAGCTAAGAATTACAATAAGGTATTTTAAAAATTATTTATATTGCTGTAAACATTTAGATGTTAGATATATCTTTTTATTACACTTGTCTGTATATGAAATAGTAAGTATTGCGATCGTGAAAAATTTTGAATCTGAGTTCTCAACGGAAATACACATTTTGAGGTCCCCTAAGTCCAAATAACCAAGTTCCACAAAATGGTCTGTGTGTGTGTATGTGAATAGCCTTACTCAAAAAGAATAGTCATACAAAACTTAAATTGCGTATTTAAAGTTTTTATATGCCTGGGATGTTACAGTAACTTTTTTGTCTAAATCGGCACCCTGGAAGTGGTGCTTATTATCATTGGGGATTGGTTAACAGATAATTAATTAAGTATAAATTTAATAAAATTCTGTCAATTACTCTAAAAAAAAAAAATAAATAAAGACTTCCGCTTTCGGATCAGTAAACATATTACTTGATACATCTATAGTTTGAAAACGGCTCCTTCAATTTGGCCCAAACTTGGAGGAAATTTGAAGGATAGTTCAGAAGTTGTGTGAATCATATTTTTATATTCCAGCTTAAATTATTTTTGTTCTGGCTGAGAGAAAGATTGGTCTCGTTAACTACGAATAAACAAAAAGTTGAGTTTTTCCAATGAATTTTTTGTTCTATCCATTTTAATAATGAAAACAGAAGTATTCATCGCAAATGTTAGTGTATAAGGTGGTATGTAACAATTTTCCATTTATATTCCATTGGTGGTAACGGTGACATTTCTTAGAATGCAACTGATATAGGTAAAATAAAATATGAAATTACACTAATAAATCATAAAGGAATAATTAGTTGTTGGCACTAACAGTTGTGATTTACATCTTTAGTATAAACAGGGATTTTTTTTATCACGATTCATCAAATAAGCGATTTTCAAATGTAGAATTCTTTCGCATTTTAGTATTCGCTGATGAACAAAATTTGTGGATATCAAACCTGCAAATGTTAAGGAATTACTGTGTTTCCGAAAATGGCTTCTCCCAGAGATTTGATTCACCTTCGAAAAATTATAGACTTTGAAATATAGATATTTTCTAGTCAATAAAACGGTGAGTAAACTATACTGGCCTTACTGGCAGACATTTTTTGTGATGAGTTTTGTGAAAAAATGTTTCTGATAAAACTGAGAATTGTTTTTAAAAATCCATTTTGCCCACAAATAGTATTATTTGATACTATACACAGTCGCTAAAGGAAACAAAAAGTAATACAAAAGTATAAATTTGACAGTTTCAATGGGCAGAAAAAAAGCATGGTAATTAATTATTTTAAATGATATCGTTTTCACTTTGACTTCCTATAAGAATATATCTACTCTGTGGTTGGTAAGTGAAAGTTGTGTGATGCTCCAGATTTTTTTTTTAATCCGTTCTCGTTTGATTTTTATTTTCGCTTACCTACAATAGTAAGAGGAAGTATTGCGATCGTGAAAATTTTCAAATCTGAGTTTTCAATGGAAATATTTTTTGAGCTCCCCTGATTCCAAATAACCAAGTTTCAAACAATGATCTGTGTGTGTCTGTTTATATGTGAACAGTCTAGCACAAAAACGATAAGTCACGCGAAACTGAAATTACATATTTCAGGTAGGTATATAGCTGTGATGTGACTGCAACTTTGTTATTACAATCAATAGTATAGCAAAAACATTTTAAATTAATCATGTTTTATTTTTTACAATTTTTATATTTTGGTATATATTCTGTGAGCTATACATATCATTTGATTATTTTATTTATTTATCAATTTCAGGCATTAGAAGAAGAGGAGAAAATGACACCCGAACAACTTGCTATAAAGAACGTTGGTAAGCAAGATCCGAAGAGGCATTTGGAAGAGAAAGTTGATGTGCTGATGTCGGCAAATATAGTGCAGTGTCTTGGTGCTATGCTAGATACTGTTGTGTTCAAATGAAGTGAAAACTGTTCGAAAAAAAGAAAGAAAAACTCAATATTTTCTTAATTTAAATAAATTGACTTTCACTTTCACAAACATTTCAAATGTGTAAATTATATATCAATTTATAAAAAAAAAACTTTTTAATGATTTACATTTATTAAATTTTTTTTTTATTACTTACATTAACTGATATCTTTATTATTTGAAAAAGTATCCCCACTTTCAACTTTCATATTTTTTATTGGCTAATTGTAAATAAAATCCAGAAGTAATGCTAAGATACTTATTTCTGTTATTTTTCTTTGATTTAATTCCTTTAAATGCATACTAAATCTTTTCTGTTCATGTTCTTTGGTACTAAAAGAATAACAATTATTTGCTTTTCAATTTGGTTATAAATCCTAGCTCAAAGGGCGCATCTTTATAACAGCTGCACAAATAGAATCCCAAGTATGTTTAATCCAATCAAATCCTGAGCTGATACAAAAGTGCTTGATAAAAGACCAGTTTCTAGATGAAAGAGTTAAATTTTATGGTTGCTGATTTATCAACTGCTAAGTGGAAGTAAAAGAAGAGATTAGGATAAAGAAAGAATATTTATTGCATTATTTATCAAATTCTCAAAATCATAAGAAAGAAAGGAATAAGCAAACAGCCGAGGGAGGCTTTCCATCTTAAAAAAAAAAATGGTGATATGGTTTGGACATAAATTAAGAGTTAGTGAAAGCAGTGGACTATCGAGGTAGTCTTCTTGATTTATTTTACTGACTAATAGCAAAGTTAGAGACGAAAATGCAGGGATACTATTTTGGAAACTATTATAATCCAAATTTTAACATATTTTGATGATACAGTCATCTTCCTTTCACATTAAACAATTGTCTGGGTTTACCGAAAATGGTTTGAGCAGGTATGTAAGTTCACAGACCTTAAAAAAACAAACAAATCAATAACTAAATCTGAAAAAGCTCATTTAGGTGTGTCTGTTTATCTTAAAACAAGACCTTAATGTGAGAGAAATTAACAACCCAAGTGAGTTTTCTAGTAGAAATACGTAGGTTTAGAACCAGTAAATTAAAACTGAATCAAGATGAGTTTCCAGCACAATTTTCAAAGGTTTTTAGTTAACTCAGCCACAACATTTGTATTTGTGACTTGATCAACACCCAGAAAGATAATTCTTTATTAGAGCACCCTTGATCTATCTAAATTGAAACTTAAGATGGCCGAAAAACTTGGTTGAACAAAGAAAAAATTTCTTGCTTGTAATGTTACCCGTTCTTTCAGAACTTGAAGCTGCATTGAATTCGACAATTCATGGCATGATGAGAACTGGAGATCAATGTTTTCACCGAGGAAGAATTTCCTCAGTGAGTAGTGTTGCCCAAATGCGAGAACAATGCAAGTCTTGCAGTTAGATATTAGTTTATTACTATAGATATATTACTGGATTTTCTTAGATGGAAGAACCTTAACTAAGCCCGAATGAAAAATCAGAAGAGTTAAATACAAAAGTATATTGTTTATAGCAATTCTTAACATATAGTAACTAAAATCGTCAAATATTAGTAACTATTTTGCCTTAAATTATATTTTAAAAAATCGATTTTTTTTTTTTTGGTCTTGCAACAGTTAGACGGTCTTGGTCTTGCAACAGTTAGACGGTCTTGGTCTTGCAACAGTTAGACGGTCTTGGTCTTGCAACAGTTAGACGGTCTTGGTCTTGCAACAGTTAGACGGTCTTGGTCTTGCAACAGTTAGACGGTCTTGTTCTTGCAACAGTTAGACGGTCTTGGTCTTGCAACAGTTAGAAGGTATAATTCTTCCAACAGTTAGAAGGTCTTGGTCTTGTAAAGTATTAAGACCAAGACCGATTTTGCAACCTGCAACACTATCAGTGAGTGAAAAGAACTAACAATTCAAGCAAATTAGTTAGGACAGGATGATAGAGCTGTGGTATAATGTAGTTCAGTATCTTTTATTATATCAGAACAAAAAAGAGAAGACAATCTATTTTGATGCCTGTGATATTGTATTGTAGATAAAAGATTTTAAGATGATATACATAATTAAAATTTTGATGTCAGCATCTTCGAATAATTTCAATATATCAGTGGTGCCCAGAAGGGGATTTCTTGTCAAGTTGCGCCAACAAAATTTTTGAGGGGGACACATTTTTATGGGGTTTTGAATTTTCAGAAAAAAAATGTTCAAACCAAGGGACAACAGAAAGCATAGAAGAGACCACTGAAAGTGTAATTGTATATGAACTATGATTTTTTAAATGCTACTTTAGTTAGCAGTGTCTAAGAAAATGAGAGCAATAAAATATATTGGGAGGAGATGGGCCACCCCTGCATGTGGATCGGTTGTGAGTTTAATTCAAACTTTTACAATATTTTTGTGAACTTTCAGCTGTTAAAATATATCTTAAGGTTTGTATTCATTATTTGTCAATAAAGGTTCCCTAGCACTATAGTCTAAAGGCTTAATTGTTGAAACTGTTGATAAATATCCTCACTAAATATAAATAATCTTGATACTGACTATTTATCAGTAATGAAGTTTTTTTTGTAATTATAATAGGTTTATAATAATTTTATTTTGGTTTAATTATTACAATAATTCCAATAACAATTTTGAGCTCCGCCACTAGGAGACATCAAAATGTCTCCACACCAATTTGATTAGATATATTAAAAGAAAAAAACTTTCTTATGTGATTAGCGGTTATCTTAGAAAGTTATGATTTTAAGTATCTATATCTTAGATGATAAAATATAACACAGGAGCTGAGGTAATCGTATAATTTGAAGTTATTTTGGGAAGGAAATAATATTTTGTTCAATTTAATATGGGTCAAATGCCATGTCTTGATTTTAGTTTATTTAATTAATTTAAAAAATATATATATTGACAAGTTAAACTTAATTTTTTGCTGATCAATGTAGAACATAAATCACATAGAACTAATAAACTCACTACTTACAAACTGATCTACTCATATTCCTTATTTCAAATTCTCAATACCCCCCTTGAAATAGTACTTCCTTACAATTTGTTGAACCCCAGACTCTTCATGGTTTGTAGTGGTGCATGTTTTTTTTAACGCTCTGTATCATGTTTGTTATAATAATTCAAACTTTTCTTGAATAGATCATAATTTTGTTATTAAAAAATGTCACTTGTTCAGTAATTTATTTTTGAAAAAATATTTGCCTGGTTTTAAATGTGCTAAATCTCCATAATTATAAATAAAGCTTTCCTCCTATTAATAAAATAAATTTTAAAGTTATTATTTAGCTCTTAACAAAATGAGATACCTGAGCAAATATGTTGGAATTTACGATTTAAAGTAACATAACAAGCCAGCTTGAATCACATTTATTGGGATAAAGAGACATTTTTAACATCCTATTTTTTTTCTGGATTATAAATAATATAATAAAATATAAAAATAAGTGAAGAAGCAGCAACAACCAAAATCTAACAGAGGCACTAGCGAATCCAGGATTTAATTTTGGGAGGGGGCTTCAGCCCGAAAGCTTTTTCTTCATAAAATTACGATAGTTACTTTGGAAAAACAGAAAGAAACTAACTATCTTTATGAAATGGTGTTTAAGTGATTACTTAAGTCCTTTTAAATGTAATTACACGAACAATAATACTTTAAGAGATAATTTTTTAATATATTTTTTCATAAAACATGGTTATATTTTACCATTTTGGGGGGCTTCAGCCCGAAAGCACCCCCCTCCCCCCCGTAAATCCGCCCGTGAAGAGAGGCATGGTAGAAAGGTAAGCCACCACAGGCCTTCCAGTACGCCAGTTCAGAAGAAGACAGCACGCGGTCAACATGGATTTCGATTTGGAGCTGGATGAGCTCCGATTTTTGATTCTTTTTGAAAATTCCCAACGTGAGTACAATCAATATTAGCATATGTATATGGTTATTAAAAAAAAATCATGTAATAATGATTCAAATCTTGCCAAATATTCACTATTACAGCCAAACATGAAATCGTATCACCATCAAGAAATGAGTCTAACACCATTTTCTATAAATACAACTTAAGAATTCGATAACAATGATTTTGTATGCTGATGGCTGGATTTCAATTTTACAAAGTGTGAGTTTATTGTTTTTATCTCCGAAACATAGATTCCTAATTATTTTAAAGTAATTTAATCATTGAAACGAAGACCAGGGCGAAGATGTCATCATATAATTTATTATACATCATTAATCAAATAATATATAACTGATTGATATTCCAAATAATTCGATGGAAACGATTTTTACGTTTAAAATAATATTCTGAATACTTATGAAGTTGAAAGTCACAAGACTAAATTTAAGAATCTTATTTTTTCATTTATAGTGATTTGGTGTTTTATTTTATTTTATATTTCTGATTTTGAAATTAAATCATTGCTTCATTCATTTAAAAAAATGTCAACTCCAGTTACGAACTTATCTGTCTTATAACTCCCTTGATTAATATAATGTACCCATTACTTTTTTATAAAAAGAGTTTATCCTATTATCTTTTCGAAACAAAAAAAAAAAAAGAAATGGTATTACCTTTTTCTAAATCTTTCAATTTGAAGGTATTTAAAATTTATACCAGCATAACATTTCATATTCTAGAAACGGCACTACTACATTTTTACAATTATTAAAAAAAACGAAACTGTTTTGTACCAACATTTCAAAAGATGAAAATCTATAATAATATATGATGTATACAATAAATCTGTACATTATTTATCTTACGTGTTTTTTGTCAATAAAAGATGCTACTATTAACAAAATACCTAAAATAACTCACTACTGGTGAGGATCACGTGTCGTTTCTGAAATGAGCGAATTCAATTAGGTATGTTTTGTAGTTTTCAGGAAAAACCTTCTAGCATCGTCTTCTAATCATTAAATTGATATTTCATAGCAATTTTTTCAAAATTTCATACCAAAGATTTTTCTACGTTGAATTTTATCCTGAAAAATGATTATGAAAAGATTTCATAGACGGCTTCTTATACATGAAGTAGTGTTTTTTTCAAATTTAAAATTTCGCTTTGAGTGTGAAATCCAAGTGGTCTACAAAATTATGATAGTATCTTAAGATCGGTTTTGATTTATCTACTTCATTCAGCGAAACATATAATATTGATTCATTCCTTAGTCTCTGACAGAGGACGTGAGGATCAAGCATGTTAAGGGGTGAGTTCTTGAATGTCCGGTTTTGAACGTTGTAGGTTCGATTCCCACCAGGGTTACTTAATATTTATTTCTCTATGGCCTAGAGAAATGAATCTTGACTCTCCCACTCGACGGTGAGTACGCGGTGGCAGCCTTACGGTTTACCAATTGGAACACAAGCCCCACTTGCCGGATAAGTTCTCTCCTACTAGTAGCAGTACCAGGACTGGTACTTATTAGGAGACTTCTCCGTCACAAAAAAAAAAAATTATCTTGAACCATCGCGGTATGTACTGCACGGGAGTCTTTCTCGACGTTGAACAGGCGTTTGATCGAGTCTGATACCCGGGTCTTCTGTACAAACTCCGAAAAGTCCTACCCCCTACATACTTCCTCATTATCCGCTCCTATCTTACTGATAGATATTTCAAAGTAAACCAAAATAATGTCTTCTCATCCCTCTTTGCTCAATCTGCAGGCGTTCCACAAGGTAGTATCCTCGGTCCCATCCTCTACACAGTTTATGCAGCTGACATCCCAACCCATCCTGACACTGTCATCACCACTTACGCCGATGACACATGTTTGCTATCTGTTAATAACGATCCTTTAATTGCATCCCAAACTCTTCAATCACATATCACAAGCCTTGAAGAATGGTGTAAAAATTGGAGAATAAAAATAAATTCCAACAAATCCCATCAAATTACCTTTACCCTCCGTCGTAAACCTATGACGTCTTGTCCTACAGTAACTTTCAATAATACTCCACTTATACCTGTTGAGCAAATCCGCTACTTAGGACTCCATTTGGATAAACGTCTTACTTGGAATCCTCATACTAGACTGAAACGACAAGAAACTGCTCGACGTTTCCGACTGCTCCAACACTTACTAGACAAACGCTCCAAACTTTCTATTAATTACAAAAGACTTATCTACATAACTATAATAAGACCTATATGGACATACGGAGTTGAGCTTTGGGGCTCCACCAAACCATCGAATTCCTATCGTATCCAATCCTTACAATCCAAAATCCTCCGTAAAATCCTTAATGCTCCATTCTTTGTCACAAATAAAACCATTCATAAAGACCTTAATGTACCATATGTCGCTGATTTAGCTCGAGCCAGATATCTATCCTTTCATGATAAACTTCAGTCCCATCCAAATCCGCTTGTTTCCACTCTTGCTTCTTTCTCGATTCCTGATAATCCTCCTAGGCGTCTGAAAAGGAGATGGCCTCGTGATCTTCTTAATTAAAATTATTTAGAGAGTGCTACCACTGGGTAGTAACTCTTCAAGCCTGTACATGCCATTATTTATATTTGCGCATATTTACTTGTTGTATTTGTCTACAGTTGTAAATTCCATTAAAAAAAAAAAACAAAAGTTGAACCATAATGTTCACCAATATTTACACAACGCTAAAGTTTCATCCTGACATTATATTAATCAAGGAGCGATGTTCTCTGAGATAGGTCAAGGCTCAAGTTTACTTTCGACTACTCATGGGTCCTATATACGCTTGTGGAATGCTTGATTTAACACTGATCAAATGTATCGCTTAAAAATTTGACGTGATTTTTATGTTTGTCGTATTTAATTGCCTTAATTCCTAAGTAACACTTACTTTGGCAAGTTTTTTAAGTCGTATTTGAGTGAATGGAGGATTTGCATGACATTGTCTAGACCAAGTACCAAATGCACTGCGTTTAAAAAAAAACAAAAAAACATTTCTTTATGAACAGAATTTTCCAATTGTTACTCAATTGAGGTTGAAGTTCCTCAAAGCAGCATCTTGGTTCTCATCCTTTACATCCTCTTTACCGTTGACATTCCAGTCCGTCCCGATACCCTACTGGTAACTTTCGCTGATGACACTGCTATCCTATCTTCCAACTCAGATCCTGAAACAGCGTCCACAAACCTGCAAAGGCACCTATCACTGATTGAACACTGGTGTAAGAAATGGCGCTTCAAAGTCAAAGTAAAAAAAAACATCAAAATCATCAAATGAATCCAAATGTAAACATATAGCCTTTACACTTTATCGTAATTCCTGTCCATCAGTTTATTTTAACTCCATCCAGCTTCCCTTCTCCGGTTCAGTTTTCTCTTAGACAGACGACTAACGTGAAATCTGCACACTAGACTTAAAAGACAGGAACTTAACCGACGTTATGGCCGGCTATATAGACTACTGGATAGAAAATCTAAATTTTCTATTGGAAACAAATTACTGATCTACAAGACAATACTAAAACCCATCTGGACCCACGGACTACAACTATGGGGGACAACCAAATTTTTTAACATTAAACGCATTCAAGTCCACCGTACAATAGTTGAGGCTTACTTCTATGTCACCAATACAACCTTGCATGATGACCTTAACATTCCATTTATTCTTGATCTTATTCCAGACAAATTTCATCAGAAACTTACTCATCGCCCTAATACCGTAGCTCAGTCTCGATCTAGCACCGCCCATCCCTACAATCCTTCTCGCAGGTTAAAACGGCATTGACCCCGTGATCTTTTGTAACTTGTATATATTGGAGTTCTTGCAATTGCCAGATTCTCCACTCAAGTCATAAGTGTCTGTGGTTGTAGCGCCCTTACTCAGCCTCTGCTGACTTTTAATACCAGTGAAGTGGTTGAGAGAGAAGCGCAGATCTCCTGAAGCCTTGCTTTTCCCTCTACAATTGGGGAAACAAGTCTGGTTCGGAGTTCCCCTAGCCGATTGTAAATAGTGTATATAGATATGCCTGCATCTAAGATGTTTATTTTTGTGTTTTTTTTTAAAGAACATTTTAATTCTATTTTATTATTATCATTATTGTTTTCTCTCATTATGATATTTTATTTTGTTCTTATTTCGCTGTATATTATTTTGTAATTACCTTATTTATTTTTTATTCTGTAAATATGGTATTAATATGCTTTGTGAACTCTATTATAAGTGTCCTTAATTGAGACAGATTGTAATATTTATCAATAAACTAGCAATCTAAAAAAAATACTTTATGAATGGATCATTCAATTGCCAATCTTTATTTTTTCACAAAAAACAAAACCAATCTTTTTATAATTATTAAAACGGAAACAAAAAATCCCTTATACTGAAGCGAACAAGGAGTTCATTGTTATCTGTATATTTGTGAGTTAATTATTTACTTTATCCTTTCACTTTAAAATAAACATTGTTTTGTATTTATAATTTAGTATTATCCGTTCTTAATATGGTATTTAGTTCATAATCAAATTTCTAAATATGCCGAAATAGATAAAAATAACTTGATAACTGCATTGATGAAATGTGTTCAAGGAATACTGCGCATTTTACTTATGTCAAAAATGATAATTAAAACTTAATGTTAATCCTTTTGTTTTTTCACATTTTTCTTGGTATTAAGGTCATATTTCACTATAGGGAGAACATTGTTAGGTATATTCAAACCACTGTTATAATTAATTTGGTCATTTTAATGGTTAAACATAATATATTACGTATAATATTTACGTTATATATTGGTGGTTTTGTCTAGTTGAGAAAAGTCACGGAAGCTGTAAAATGTAATCAAATAAAATTAAATGATACCAGTAAAGAATTTGGACGGGAAACACAAAAGAAACAATATTTATGACTACTGTAAGATTTGGTGATAACTTCGCATTGATACTGGTGTGGATATGTTTGAATAGATAGAGCTCTCTGTTCTCAGCAACGACATCGAGTAGGAACTAAAATAAGATAAAAGCAATTTTAAGCAACAATAGATTAAAAAATTAAAACAGAAAGGTTGACACCCAATTAGGAACTTACAAGAAGAGAAATAAGTTGGGGGCGACCACTGTAATTCCTGAGGTTATTTTCCTAGAATTAGAGGCGGATAGGATCACCGAATAAATATTAACCCTGAAGAAATATCTTGCAACTTACTCTGCGAGATGAATTAAAGCGGAGAAAAGTTTTCTGATGCGTACGCTTGTTTCGTTAGAACGTACAAATATGGGTAGGGCGTTAAATCTTACCGTTACCGAAATATCGAGTCATTCAGGTATTCGTTGTTTGTTCCATATCGTTCGTCAGTCTTTTCTGGTCAGAAGATATGAGTGGGTAGTAATTATGTCAATTGTGGCATGAAAGTACTTAGGAACTGATAAATTAGTTACTATCTCCCAGTGTGTTTATATGTGCGATATGGCAAACAGACTGCAACAGACAACAGTCCGCATCGCTTTCGGTACCATGTCGGCACATCTTTTGTAAACTTAGTAGTTTGCCGCTCCTTAGTTATTGGCCCATACTAGTATGCTTCTTTTATTACATCCGTTTGGATGTGGTCTAGTTATGAGAGATGGCAGATCAGAAAAAGAATATATGTGCGGGGATTGTAAATCACCATAAGAGGTTAATAAAGAATGTTCCCGATGATACAATTGATGTGTGACACCGAAAAGATTTACTTTGTAGTTGTAATTTCTAGTGTTGGAAATGTAATTACATCCTCCAGGACTATGGGGACATTTTTATTTATGTATTGAAGATTTCAGAGAGTTTATTCATTTTTTCTAGTTCGCCATATTCCTTTCTTATACAGTAGTATGTAACTGATCTGTCACTTTTATCCTTATTGTACAACATAATATAAGAGAATACACTAGCGGATCCAGGATTTAATTTTGGGGGAGGGGCTTCAGCCCGAAAGTTTTTTTTTCATAAAAATAACGATAATTACTTTGGAAAATAAGAAAGAAACTAACTACCTATATGAACTGGTGTTTAAGTGATTCCTAAAGCCCTTTTAAATGTAATTACACGAATAATTATGCTGTAAGAGATCATTTTTTAATATTTTTTTCGATAAAACATGGTTATATTTTACCATTTTTGGGAGGGAGGGGAGGCTTCAGCCCGAAAGCCCCCCGTAGATCCGCCCGTGAGAGAATATTCATTTCAAAATTTGTAAATAAATGAGTATGGCTATAAGAAACTAATATTGCTCTGAACTCGTTCCTTTAATTTATTTTGCTTTACACTGCATTAATTATTGATTGTTGTACAATTGTGCATAATGTAAGAAATAAAGCATCATTCTAATGTTAATAAACAAGTTGTGATTTCATTTAAACGAAATCTACTGTTATAAAGAAAACGATTTTTTTTCAGTGGTCGGGCTATTAGTTTTTAGCAATGTTGTATAACTTTCCCCACCTGATTACCAATGAGAAATCATCACAGATAAAGGATGATTATAGTAAATGAACAGCTTAAGGGCTTCTGCGACCTTGAGTAGTGTTTCATTTCCTGTTGAGGTAGACACCTCGTTTTTGAATCTATAGTTGCCTACTTTTCAATGAGTAATTCGATTACTTCTATCATGATAGGGAGGTATAAGGAAATCAATCAAAGATAAGAGGTAGCGGGCTTAAATAAGAAAGGAGGATATTTTTTTTTAGAATCTAGCTCCCTGTATATATTTATGAATTGCTAGAAGTGACGGATTCATCAAACACACGGAGAATCACTCGGGCAGAAGACCCGTAGGCGGACGATCATGGGGAATGTTTCGGTAAAATTTACATTCTTTAATATTAATTAAGTTTTTTTTAATAGGCTGGTTCATAAACGGTATATAATATTTACTCTTAATTAAATTGTTTGTACATTATTTAATATGATATTAATAGCTCGGGAAAGTATCTGTTTACATTTTACCCTTTATGGAGTGACAACGTTCAATTTTTTTTTTCATATTGTGAATTTAAAAAATAAAATAAAAATGTTGACTAATGAAATATTTAAATCACTAATTTCATTTCTGTAGGGGAAAATAAAGATAATTCTTATACTCCCAGATAAAAATAATCTGGAAGATTGTTGATCCTTTATCATCTTGTTCTTTTTGATCCTTAGTCTAAAAATCATTTTATTAATTTGATCCATATGAATTCCAAAATTCGTTATCTCTTCTCACATATGACTTAAGTTCAATAATATCATATATATCTATCGAATTAAAACAATAATAATAAAATTAGCCTATCTTACCCAATACGATTTTATATGTTAATAACTACTTTATTTCATTCAACTTTTGTTGATAATAGAAGGGGGGCACCTATGAAAAAGTAATTTTGTTCATTTATGGTCAATACTTCTCCAGAAACTATTTATTTTTAGTGCGCGCGACTTGACATCGTTTTCATTCTACCAAGTTAAAATTAATTTGATTATGCAATAGTTTAATTTATATTTTAACCATGACAGTAGGTTTCAGAAAAAGTGGGCGTGTCCCCCTTGGTTAACAGTTTTTGTGTGTAACCTGTCAGCTGATACCAGATTTTGTCAAAATTTCTATTTTACTTAAAAGTTTTATTCTTTTCTAAAGTTTTAATTCTAGTGTGTAAGATCCAAAAAGTTCAAAATGTCGTCAAGTACCATTGCTCTACATGGCTTAGCTGAAGAAAAGATAGGTTAATTATCGTTTTATTATATTACCATGATATACCTATTTATTACATTAATATATTACAAGATCCCTGTTTTTATTGAATCCAGATATGCTGGCTGCGACCAGTGTTTTGCAGCAGCAAGCATCAGAAATCCGGGGTTACAGAGTGAACTGGCAATCTTACTTACAGTTAGTGACATTGAATTGAATATAGGATAACAAAGTAATTGATAAAATATTAAAAATCATTATTTTAAATTTATAGATCCCAAATGATAACTCAGGAAGATTATGGAATCATATCTGAATTTGATCATGGTGATGCTGCTAAACGAGAAAAAATAATTCAAGAAAAAAGGAGTCAGCTAGCAAAAACATTTTTGAACTTGCTGGAACATGTTTCCAAAGACCAGACTATCCAATACATATTGGTAATCGTTGATGATATGCTTCAGGTAAATTTGAAATAAAAAGATATTTTTTTATACCCTTAATATGGTATGAATACTTTTTGTAAAAAAATATAATAGTACTTCTGATTTTTAGGAAGATCATAAGAGAGTTGAAATATTCAGAGAGCATTCATTGAAAAAACGAGAACCTGCATGTGGCCAATTTCTGAATCTTCTAAATGGGTCAGACGGATTCATTGTCAATATGACAGCTAGAATTATTGCTAAAATTGCTTGTTGGAGCAATGAACTTATGGACAAATCAGATCTTAACTTTTATCTTACTTGGCTGAAAGACCAACTAAAAATTACTGTAAGTTAACTAAAATCAAATTGAAAATTCTGAGTGAGTCGTATTAATTACTTTTTTTTTTTAATTTACTCTAAATTTAAGGTGTGTTAAAAAGTTGTATTATATATATAAAAGTATTAATTTGTATAAAAGTATTAAATAAAAATTACAAATAATTTATTTATTTGAGTTTTTTTGTTGCCTGTACCCTCCAGGGTCATTGGCAACATCTTTTATTTACTCTGTTATCTAATTTAATAAATAAATTTATTAACAAATAATTCAAGAAATCACAAATATTTTAGAACTCCTTATTCATGAAGACCCAATAGGTCACATTCAGTTGGATTAAAACTTTTCAATAACAAGCCATCATAATGATAATTATCATCAAAAGATCCAAAATTCAATTTAATAAATTCTTCTTTACAATAAATATACTTTATTTAACTTAATTGTTGTTTAATAAAATGTTAACGTAATAAAAAAAATAGTGATGGATTATAGACACAAGCAGAATTCTTAAATAAATAAGCCTTCAAATAATAAAATAAATAAATTAACAACAAATCAATTCATGAAAAAAAAATAGATGATAAGATCTTTTATAAAATATTTCAATAAATTAAAAATTTGTTTTATATATTTGATTTAATTTTATACTTTGTTAATATAGATCAAAACGAATAATCATTGTAATCGAAGTTAATATTTTTCTCTTTGAAATAAAAAGATTATAAATTTTGTTGTATAATATTTATTCCTTATTATTTTATTTGGGAGGCATTTATTTAATATTAATTTTACTTTTGCTCAATAATTTAACTATTTTCAAAGAAGAAAAATATGTGCAGTTTTTAATTTATTTCTTTGGGAATAAATGCTATTACTACTCAACAAAGGCAATATAAAAAATTTATATGAGTAAAATTAATCAAAAGAATCTAATTAATTCGAAAATTACAAAAGAATAAGAAGAATGAATAAATATTTATGGATAATTACGTAAATAAAAATGTTATGTATACACACACATATATAAAGTAAATAAAATATGGTTATTGTTTGTAAATATTTTTTTAAGGTTATTTAATAAAAGTTAAATTATTCTGTTATTTATTGTAACAGAGGATTTGTTCTATATTTTTATTTTATTATATTCATTGAAAGCTTAAATATATAACTTACGTTATTTCTAAAAATTGTATACAAAGTATATACATGGATTTCAATCCTTTTTAATTGTAAAATCTTTCTTCATTGTCATTAATTATATATTGTTTTTTCTAAACATTTCGTGTGTTTATTATTCATATTTTCAGTTATACAAAGAAGTTTTAGCTACTAATTTATAATGGCTTGGTATTAAAAACGTTGCAATCTAACTGAATGCAACCCATTGTCACTTCGAAAAATGAAATGAGAACATATTTTATTATCCTGGGACTGTTGTCCCTTTAGAAGTAAAGAATTATATAAATAAATTATAAGTAAAGAATGCATGTCTGTGTGGTTATAAATAAATGTTTACATTAATAGTTAATTAAACTAAAAAAATAGAAAGAAAGAGAGAAACAAAAGAAAAGCATACATATATGTAAAACTTACATTGGAAACTAAAATAATATAAGTAAACAGAAATAGCCTCTGGGGGTACTTAAATAATTCTCATAGGTACATTCTCGTAGTCAGTCAGATTGGGAAAGGAGTAGGTGTTTAAAGAGGAGAGCCTTGAAAGAGGAAACTGATTGTGCGTATCGAATATCAGGAGGGATAGAATTCTAGAAGATGTATTCTTATCGATTTTTAATTCATTAAAATACCAAATCCAGTTAAATCCATTTTCCATTTTTTTTAGGAAAGTATTGTGATGATGGGAAATTTTAATTGCGAGTTTTCAATGGAAATACACATTTTGTTGGTTCCCTGAGTCCAAATTACCAAGTGTCACAAAATGGAGTGTTTGTGTGTGTCTATTGAAAAATTATTTATAATTTTAGTATATTATTATTTTAAAAATTTAGTTAAAAACCATAAAAGACTAAAAAGTGGAAATTATTTATTTTTATACAGATGTTGGTAAATAGGTCGAAAATTGTTTATTTTTGATATATATTTGGCAGAATGTATAAAATCAATATTTTTTAAGACAATTTTGAACAAGTTCGCAAATATTTTCTAATTGTTATGATTCTTAGTTTGGTAATGAAATAATTTTTATTTTTCAATATTTTATTGAATAGTTTTTATTTTTATAACTCATTTTCTGGATTGCCATAAGTTTAATATGTTATAGCATTATTTAGAAATTCATTATGCCAAAAAAATTGTTTTTTTCATTCACAGAATAACGAATACATGCAATCTGTTGCCCGCTGTTTACAAATGATGCTACGCATTGATGAATACAGATCAGCTTTTATTTCTGTTGATGGAATTTCTACTCTTCTCAGTGTTCTGTCTGGAAGAGTGAACTTTCAAATTCAGTACCAACTTATTTTTTGCATTTGGGTATTGACTTTCAACCCTAAATTAGCAGAAAGGATGAATAAGTTAGTAAAACTAAATTGATAGAAATATTTAAAATAAATATATTATTTACATACATGTTTACAATAATAATTAATTATTGACTATAATTTTATTCCTCAATAGATTCAGTGTTATCCCTATCTTGGCAGATATACTTAGTGATTCTGTCAAAGAAAAGGTTACCCGAATCATTCTTGCTGTGTTCAGGGTGGGTAGTTATTTTATTCAATAAACTAAATGTAGTATAATGGTGGCTGATATTAATTGTTATATTTATTATTAATTCTTAGAATCTTATCGAAAAACCAGATGACAGATCTATTTCTAAAGAACATTGTATAGCTATGGTGCAATGTAAAGTATTGAAGCAATTGAGCATTTTAGAACAGCGTAAATTTGATGATGAAGACATTGTTGAAGATGTCCAATTTTTGAACGAGAAACTTCAAGCTTCTGTTCAGGATTTAAGGTATTTATTCTAAATTAGTATTCATTAAACACGTTAGGTAATATTTAAAGTTAAAATGTTAGTATTGAAAAATTAAGGAATAAAATCAGTTGGTCGTCAATACCTTTTATTTGTATATTTTTGGGTCATCAAATGACTTTATATATGATTTAGAAAGATAACTAATTATAATAAGAGATTAACTGAATGAAATTAAATTAATAGAATTGAGTAATGTTAATAGATAGAAATATACATATAAATTAATAGATAAATGATTTATGGAGGAAATAAGGTAAATAAGCAGAATACAATTATCAAGAAAATAAAAGAAATCAAATGACAGCTATATATAAAGGATAGAAATACAATCATTTGTTGTAGATTAATTAGATATATTTTAAACAATATTTTTGGTAAGAAAGTTGCTAACTTTAGTTACTTTTTTGTCTTTGAATCATCAAACATGTTTTTAACCTTCAGTATTTATGCTTTGAATTTACAAAAAAATAGTATGGAGTCTTTTGTTATCCTAATTTTCATTCAAACATTAGTTCTAAACATTGCGCACTGTTTACAAGATTTGAGATGATGATAAATAAATCAAAATATATCTTAAACAATCTACTTACTTATTTCATGTTCAAGAGCCACTTGTAAAAGTATCCCGATAATAAGGAAATGCTTTGCTTGTAGTAAATATTGAATTAAATTTTACAATTTCTTAAGATTCCGCAACACGTATCACCAAAAACAGTTTAGAATAACAGATGAAAACAGAGGCTTTTACTTTTCCTCTGTTGGCAGCACTGCAATCGCCTGACTGAATCTATTGGTTGTTCTTTCTGGTGAATCAGACACTATTAGAATTTCATATTTATTATTAGATTCTTATATCTTAGGATCTGATTGTATGACAGATATCCAGGAACTCACAAAAAAAGTATTTATTATGTAGTTGACAGAAAAACTTGTTATGTGTATGTTACATGTTATAGTTAATATTTTATTATTATTGCTTATTGGTCCAAAACTTAGTCTGTTGACATTATCTGTTCACATAGATCATATCTCCTTATTTTCTATAAATCTTGTGGATTTAAAATTTTTGCTCTTGTTGCATAATCAATTATTGTTTATAGAGATAGCAATGTATTTTTACAGCTCCAACATCATCTCTTCTGTAATTTGACTATTACATTGTTCATTCCATTATCTATTACTTGACAACAGCGATGTCTGTCTTGCCATCTAGTTGGAGATCTTTCTCTGGTTTCTTGCCAACTTCTGTAGGACATATGGTTGTGATGGATAATATATTGCATCTCTTTGCATTAAATTCTTGAAATATTGACTGAGTTGTCTATTAATTTATTTAGTATATAAACAATATTGCTTGAAATTCTACTTTGGTTAAAAATATTTAGCTGTCTCTAATAACGGCCAGGTATGGTGATGAATGTTATTTAGAAAGCTTGTATTAACCCATGAATAGTTAATATATTTTTTTTATTTAATTAAATTATATTTGTATTTTCAGCTCTTTTGATGAGTACGCAACAGAAGTCAAGAGCGGCCGATTGGAATGGAGCCCTGTGCACAGATCATCCCAATTTTGGCGAGAAAATGCCGCACGGCTGAATGAAAAGAAATATGAATTATTACGAATCCTTGTCCACCTTTTGGAAACCAGCAGAGATGCACTTGTACTAAGCGTTGCATCCTACGACATCGGCGAATATGTTCGACATTATCCACGTGGAAAAAAGTATTTTAACTTTTTCAGTTTCAATTTTACATTAACCTTAATAATACTGATTCATTTCTATCTATCTATGCCAACTTTAAAATTTCTTCTTCTCCTTTATCTGTTATTTTTCAGGAGAAGAAAAATCTTTATTTATTTGTTCTTCTTTAGTTGGGAAGTGTTGGCGTATTAATTAAGATGTTTGCTTAAAAGCTTCCTTTAATGCAAGCAAATATTGTGTTTGTCATATTTTCTTTTTTTTGACGTTTCAGGAAATCTTGCCCATCTTTATAATTTTTTCTTGTATTCACTCATAGTCAATAACTATGCTATGTTTGCTGCTTTGTCTTAATTTATATGTTTTTCAAAAGTGCTATTCAGAGCAACCACATTACTAGACTAACGTTTCAATCTTTATGCTCGTCCGTTTCTGTCTTTTATAGTGCTAATTATTATTTCTATTTCTTGTGTATAATATTTATTTTATCGGATTATATTTGTCAGAACTAAGTTTGAATTATTTTTAGTTCTTGCTTCTTTTTTTTCTCAGCAAATAGAAGCAGAAAGATTATCGTTAAACATAATCTGTGCTTAATAATTCTTTTGGTAAAAAGGTTATTTTCTTCTTCTGAGAGGATAAATAGTATACACCACAAGTACTGATCTTTATAGCATTTGTAGAGATGTAAGTCTATAGGTTGGTTCGGAAAGGCAAAAGTTCTATCATTGGGTTGGGAAATTATTAATTAAATAATTGAGAGATGATTCATTTGAATTTTTTTGTTATAAACAAATACAGTTGATCCTTTAAATATATATATATATATAAAAAAAAACCTGTACCACTACAACCCATGAAGGGCCTTGGGTTCAGTACTATTTAGGGAAAGCATTGTTTCTAGGTCAACGGTTGTGCAAGGAGGTGATTTTACCGAGATCACGCTCAACAGCCAGGTTTTCCCCCTTAATTAATTAAATAATTAAGGATACCCACTTTATAGAGGCTGGGTGTGCCCCAGGAGGGTCTCCTGACCCCAGGGTTGCCCCACGGTCAATGAAACAGATTATTAAATTTTCTGCCATGAGCCGGGGTTCGAACCTGGGACCATTAGCATTGGAAGCTCAGTACTCTACCACTGAGCTACCCCACTCTCAATTTTTTTGTTATAAACAAATATAGTTGATCCTTTAAATATATATATATATTATATATATATATATATATATATATATATATATACACACACACATATATATTAACATATTTGTTTTTAAATACCATTTATAACTTACCAGTAAAAATAATAATAATAAATAACTCATTATTTAAAAGATAATCTTTGCCACTTTCTCGTCTGGTTGATAAAGAAATGAGCTGACTTTATATGACTAATGAACATTTTATTTTAAATTTTAATTATCAGATTGAATGGCTTTTTACTCTTAAAAGAGAATAATCATTTTAATTTTTTTTTAAATAAAACTTAAAATTAAATCGAATTATTTCTCTGAATTTAGTGTCATAGAGCAGCTTGGTGGAAAGCAGTTGGTAATGCAATTACTATCTCACGAGGATCCCAATGTACGTTATGAGGCACTACTTGCTGTTCAGAAACTAATGGTGCACAATTGGTGAGTAAAAATTCCTATAATTTTATTATAGTTATTGATTTTTCCATCTAGGATATCTTAAATAGTAGTAAAATTGTAGATGTGATCTGAGTTCCAAATTTATTACTAATTAATTCATCTTATTTATTTGAATTATTATTCATATTGTATGTAGACGTTTATATTCATAATAGCAGTCAATTGCTCGTTAACATTAATGATTTTGTTGCTTATATGTATTTATTAGTTACTCTAAAAGATTTTTTCGTATTATTTAATTATTTGGATAGTCGATTTTCAGGACGAGTGGTTTTGAAATAATTAACATTCTACTCAAATCAGTAACTTCAGTACTCCTAATCAATATCAAATAACTGATAGGTTTTCCTTAATCTATTAAAGGGTGATTCTCATTTTATAGTTTAGTTCATCCTAAACCAAAGTTGATCATGGTTTATTAAACATGAGCTAATTTACTATTTTCAACAAGAATTCAAACCTGGTGCTTGAAATTTCAATGCTTCATTTACAGAACAATCTCTTTTGCTAAATAAGAATATCGTATTTTATCTTAAATTGATTCACTACAAATTTTAAGTTTCTAAAAATCATCTAAAGAAAATAATTAGTTTTTACTTCTTAAAAATATATAATACTTTTTACGTTTACTGAAAATATATTGATTATTTTAAAAAAATATCTTTTTGTACTCTGGGAAACATTAAATATTCATATTGGTACATGTATATATACTCATCCAAAAAAAAAAAAGATATTTGATGTATAAAGAAAAAATCATATACTGAAGGAAAAAAAAGTTAATGTTTATTTTGAATATTATTTACTGTTTATACAGGAGACTATCCAATGAGTGAAGTCATTGATCATAAAATATTGATTTTAAGTGCTTGTTTCTGATTCCATTTAGAGAAAAAAAGTCCAATAAATCTCTGTCCGCATATGCTTTCTAACAGAAATAAGAGCATTAAAAGTTCATATAAACTAGAAGGCTATTTACAACTAGTGTTTGTCCAGTTGTTAAAATTCGATCATAATCATTGTTGGAAATTTAAGAAAACATATATGAATTTCTATGTTTCAAACATTTTTTTTTCTACTGTTATACATTCTTACTTACACTTTAATATGTATTTACTTCAGAAAACAGGGTGAAACTCAAATACCATATGTGTAATTTCTGTGTTATTTGCAAATAAAATTTTGAATCCATTGTTACTTTTTTCAGTCTCTTATCATGGAAGTATGTTGTATATATAAATTAAAAGAACTTCCAGGTGAGGGCTTTAGTCAAGTTTCATTAAAATCGTTACATACATTTCGGCGCTATAGTCTATACCTTTTTTTGTTTTTCGGCTGCCGTTTTGAACAAGAGGGATGGATGAAATGTATATAAAAACACTCCTGAATTTGATTACAAAATTGTATCAAAATTTCAAAGCAATCGGTGAAGAACTTTTGTGGATTAGCAGTTTTGAACAAACTAACATTTACATTTTTATTTATATACAATGTTTCCTTTTTTTATATTTTTTATTGATAACAGTAAAGCTCGTCAATAGCTACTAAATAAAAAAACAGAGGAGAAAAAGGGACTGAACTGTTTTGTGTTTGCCTATTTATATATGCTCTACAACTGCCTGTCTTTTATTTTCATTAAAATAACCATAAATATAATAAATATTGGCTTATTCTTTTTTCGTAACCAGAATTATTATAACTTCTAAAGAAACTGTATACAAGACTTGGCTGATAAAAATATAAATAATAAATAATGGACAATAAGAAAATTATTCACATTTTAACATAAACTTTCAATCTTTGTATTTCTGTTAGGAAGCATTTTCAGATATATGTATATTCAATATTTTTTACTCTGAATGGTTACAGTAACACACCCTTAAAGTATGGATTCATTTATTGGACATCCTACGTATTGTCACTGTATTGGAAAAATATGGTTTCGAATGATATTTTTCTGACTAATGTTCCATTCTTCTTGAACAGCACTTTTGACAATTAGTCTCATTTTAAATACCCATAATCTTTACCTTTTATCTGGAGAATTATTTATATATCTAGAAAAATCTCATGTCTTTTTTTTTTTTTTCTATTGATTGAGTATATATAAATATAAAAAAATGTACTAATGAAAAAGAATAAAAAATACTTTAGTTAATTTATTAGTTGTAATTTGAGCTATTTGTAGTTTTTTAAGATTAAAAACTGTTTTAAATTATTTATTTATTTTTCTTTTCTATAATGGATGGATAAATAGCTCCTATACCTATACGAAATTTAAGTAAGAAATCATAGAGGCTATTATCATTGTGAACTTTGCATTTTTTTATCAGGTAGGAGGTGCCTTATATGGTATTGAGTGATTAAAAATCAATTAACCAATAATGCATCTAAAAGTCTGCATGGATGGTTGATTTCGTTAAATATCTATATATATATTTATAAAGAGAAAATATAGCATGTTTAATATTGTGATAAAATTAGTTTTAAAGAAGAAGATATTAAAACTTTTTAAAATCCTTTTTTCTTGTCGTAGAGCAGGCTCCCTTTTATATTAACCACTCAACAGCCATTCAACACCAATGACTTGACTATGCAGCACGTGTTGAGCATGTGAAAATGTTCTTGTGTGTTTTATATATTTATAAAACACGCGGACACACTAATATACCCTTTTTATTGGTTATTTATTAGTAAATTCACAAAAGGAAACTTATAGCATCTCGATGAGTTGATCGCATGTCTTATGTTAAAAAGCTATGTTTCAAATTACAGTTGCGCAAATTTAAAAGAAAGAATCACTATCGTTTTCATGCATCTTTATTAAAGTGTTACTATGCTGCTTTTGAAACACATTTATATATTGAGACAATATGAACTTGTGTTTATTTGATTTTCTATTAGTCTTGTAAATTATAACTTAAATTTATTTAAAGTTGATGTCATTTTTATTGTTATTTCAACAGGTTTTATGTTTTGATGAATTATTTATAATGTATATATAATTTTTGATAGTGGAATAATAATTTTCTGTCGAAGATATATTGGAAAGAAGTTGGTTGGAATGTTTAGTAACAAAGTAAAAATCAATGCATTGATAAATAATAACAACAATATCCACCAAAGCCTGGTAAAATATTATAAATTTACTGAAGGATCAAAATCTTGCCATCGTTACAGACCGAAATATATCCTTTTTGATAAAGAAATGACCATTTATTGGGATCAAATTGGAATTACTGACCATACCGTGCCAAACAATGAACTAGATGTTCTGGTTATACATAAAAAAGAAAGGAAAGTTGCAATAATTGAGATAGGAGTTCCTAATGTCGATAATGTTAAAAAATCTGCTGCAGTGTGTGCATCACATAACTTTCACTTACCAACCTTAGATTAGATAGATATTTTCTTATAGGAGGTCAAAGTGAAAACGACAGTATAACTTCATTTAAAACAATTAATTACCATGTTTTTCCCATCCATCTAATCAGTTAAATTTATACATTTACATCCTTTTACGACTGTGTATAGTATCAAACAATACCTAGATTGTGTGGAAAATGGATCTTTTGGAAAAATATTGAGTTTAATTGGAAACATTTATCGCAAAACTTGTCGAAAAAATAATCTAAGGCTAGTAAATATTGCATATTATTAGGTTTATATTATTAAATCAATATTTTGTGTGAAAATCTTATTAAAAAATTATATGGGTAAGTGATACATTAAAGTTAAACTAACAATATGAAAGCACTGTACAGAGGGGTAACAGGTATGTGTAAAGGGAGAGGATCAACAAAGGTTGGATGCTTTCGGCTGAACAGCCGAGCTCGATAGGCACTCGTTCATGTTAGTAACAGCGAAGATGGTCGCTTAAGAATCGATGAAGAGAATAGCGCTCTGTTCTTGCCTTCCACACAATGTTCTTAAGGTTATGAGAATTGCTGCTATCTCACTGTAGAAATTTGTACCATTCTTACCCACCTCAGCGCTTAACCAGAATTCCTTTGAATAAACCTCTGCTCCAGCATCTCTAATGGCTGATATAGCTGACCCGTCGGTAAAAATGTGAAGCCAATTCTGAGGAGAAGAATACTTTTGAGCTATAGTTTCCATTGCTATTGCTTTTAGCCCATAGTCAGGTGTGTTACCTTATTTTTCACCTTATGGAAGAGTTGAAGTTTTGCCTTGCCAGGGTGATGATGGATTGGGGTTCGTACTGTTTGGTACTGTGCTGGTATGAATGCTGGTGTTCATACTGTGCTGGTATGAATGCTTCCCTCTCTTCGCCCTGTTTCTTCAAGTAAGCTCCTTGTATCTTGAGCCTTTGAGTTGGGATCCTGTAACTTTTCCAAAACTGTGGGTCCATTCATCTCATTCATTATTGAAGGTACATTGCAGCTCGTTCACACCATTTAGAAAGGGGTTCTGTTGTGGTCTGCAGTTACATAGCTACAACTGGGGTTGAGTGTGGTGTACCCAAAATTAAACTAGAGCTTTGTTCTGTTGGCTGTCCAGTCTTCTCAGAGATGCATCAGCCGCTGTACAGATCACTTCTGAGCCGTACTCCAGGACTGGACTTACATGAGTTTTATACGTAAGGCACATCATATCCTGAGTGGCCCTCCTCCTAATAATTAACCACTTCACATTTGAAGCTGATATAAAAAATGATTAAATATAGTGAATGAAGAAAATGTATTAGTATCTAGAGGGGAAATAAAGGTAGGAATCTATATGATATAACACGGTGGTGGCCGACCTGGAAAAATGGTTTAAGTCAGGAATTTGTAAGGGATCAGAGTAGCCGAGCGGACTAACACGAATCTGCACAGCACCACCATTGCCCGGCAACTTGATCAATAATGATATACATTGATAAAAATAACCACTAGTTCGCGTACCAGTTCCCGGGAGGATTTAACTCTAGTATTAATCCCCCGTCCTTACTCCCTGGGTCCAGGAAAACCCCCTATAGC